CAGATGGTGAGCACACACTGCTGTCCTCATAGCCCCAGGGCTGGTGTGCGGCAAGAAGGACCAGTGGGGCCACCCTGTGGCTTACATGGCACTATGTTCCTGCAGGTGATGGAGCTGGCGCCCCTGGGCTCCCTGCATGCGCGCCTGATTGCCCCAGCGCCGACGCCCCCACTGCCTTTGGCCCTTCTGTGCCTCTTCCTGAGGCAGTTGGCAGGAGCCATGGCGTACTTGGGGTCCCGTGGGTTAGTGCACCGGGATCTTGCCACCCGCAACCTACTGCTGGCCTCACCACGCACCATCAAGGTGGCAGATTTCGGACTTGTGAGGCCGCTGGGCGGCACCCGGGGTCGCTACGTCATGGGTGGGCCCCGTCCCATCCCCTATGCGTGGTGAGGGTCTTACTCTGATGGTCTGGCTTGAGGCAGGGCTGGGGAGTCCGGCTTAGGCGGGGCTGGAGAGCAGCAGCCAGTTAGGAACTAGGGCGGGGGTGCGGGGTGGGGGGATGTGTGTTGGGGGTGGGAGTTGTTAGTCTTCTAGAGGAGGCAGGACAGAGGCATCATCAGGTCAAGAAACATAGAAGGGATTTCTGAGGCTGATGGGGCGGGGAGGGAATCCAAGGGAGTGGGCGCACAGTGGAAGATGCTGAGCTGGGCACTGACCTAGCCCCCTTCAACTTCGGTCTGCCGCAGGTGTGCCCCGGAGAGCCTTCGCCAGGGAGCCTTCTCATCTGCCTCTGATGTGTGGATGTTTGGCGTGACGCTGTGGGAAATGTTTTCCGGAGGCGAGGAACCCTGGGCAGGTGTTCCACCGTATCTCATCTTACAGCGGCTGGAGAAGGACCGAGCCAGGCTGCCGCGGCCTCCTCTCTGTTCCAGGGCCCTCTACTCACTCGCCTTGCGCTGCTGGGCCGCTCACCCTGCAGACAGGCCTAGCTTCTCCAACCTGGAAGTGCTGCTTCAAGAGGTGGGGCTCCCCAACGCTGCAGACACACATCGCCTTTCTGCCCTTTATCCGCTCCCCCAGAATTCCAAGACAAGCATGTCTTGATGCCCGGGCTGGAACCTGGAACTCAGCTCTGAACCAAACAGATTCAGCCCCTTCCTGCAGCAGGGTTGGAGCCCTGAGGAGGCAGCTAGAGGCTATAGAGATGTGGCTGGAAGAGGGGGTGTTTGCTTCTTGGCCACAAAGGAGGCTCAGAATAGAGTAGCAGGTACTCATGGGTGCTTGACCAGCGAAGAAAGAGAAATTCTGTGTGGCAGGGCAAGTGGAAGTAATGAGGCTGTAGTTGTGAGCAGACCTTTGGAGCGTTTAGAAGAATTGACCGGTGTGATACACTCTGAAGTGCTTTACGGGTGTCCTCAGTCCCTCATTTTGTCCTGTTTAGCAGCTCCTGGAGGTGGTTATTCTTAATCTCTATTTAACAGACGGGGCAGTTCATCCACTTATCTAAAGTGCGGGTGCTGAGAGCAGCATTGTCCACGTGACTTCAGAGCTGGTCCCTAAACCAGGCTATCTGCTTGTTAAGGCAGTTTGGTCTTCACTCGGAGGGCACGTGGGAGCTGTGGGAAGGGTCCGGATCAGAGTCATTATTTCAGTTGAGCTGGGTCGGAGAATGCTAATAGGGATGTTACTGAGAGTGGCTGGGAGGCAGAAGTGAGAGAAAGAACTCCAGATCAGAGTTGAAGCAGTGGACCTGGGAGGGAGTGGAAATGCCCGAGATGTGTGGGAGATGAATGTGGTGGGCTTGCGTGTGAAATAAAAGGTGTGAACAGGATAGCTCTCCTTTGGTCCCCTTAAGTGGGGGCAAGGTTCCCCTTTGCGGTTTCTCGCGTCCCGTGTCCAGCATGGCATGGAGTCCAGGTCAGCAACCCTACCCCACTTTGGGTTGCAGTGGGGTAACAGGGACGGGGCAGGCAGAGGACACACCCGGTATGCACTTATTTGATGGATGGATGCGAAGGAAGGCCCTTCCTTTGGCTTTCTTTTTTTTTTTTTTTTCGAGACAGGGTTTCTCTGTGTAGCTTTGCGCCTTTTCCTGGAACTCACTTGGTAGCCCAGGCTGGCCTCGAACTCACAGAGATCCACCTGGCTCTGCCTCCCACGTGCTGGGATTAAAGGCGTGCGCCACCACCCCCCGGCTCCTTTGGCTTTCTTGTCGTCCTTATGACTTAGGCCGAAACCCCAGCCACATTTTTTGTTCTGTCTCCACAGGCTTGGCTTTCTGAGGGACGTTGTGTGAGGGAGGTCACAGAGCCAGGTGCTTTGCGGATGGAGCCTGGTGACCCCATCACGGTCATCGAGGGCAGGTGACAACCTTACATCCCCTAAGCGTCCCCAGGGGAGGCATCCTCCCGGTCTTCTCCACTCCTGGTCTCTCCATTTTCCTCCATCTCCTTGAATCTTGTGGGTCTTTTTCTCCCCTCCCCACTGTGCCCCGAGCTCCAGCGCAGTCCTACCCTCCCTGCTGGAGCCCTGCCTGGCCCACAGTGCCCTTTTTGTGTTGGAGAGAAAAAGGCTTCCCTTCCTCCAGGCAGATGTGGCCACAAGACACACAGCTTGATGAGCTGAATGTGGCCCGAGAGCCGCCGCCACTCCCCCTGCTCCGTTTCTTCACCAGCTCCTCTTCCCACAGCCCCGACACCCCAACCTGGAAGGGCCAGAATGGCCGCACCTTCAAAGTGGGCAACTTCCCGGCTTCAGCAGTGACGCTACCAGACTCGGGGGGTTCGCCCGTCACCCATCCAGCCCACAGAGGTCCCCCCGCCCGGGGAGAGAGATGCCGAGGAAGCGTAGATGGGTGAGGTTCTGAAGGGACAGGAGGGGACAGAGCGGGGTCGGAGGGACTGACCAAATCTAGAAACTTCTCTGGAAGAAAACCTGGGAACAGGACTAGCGTGATCTGGGAGTGTAAGAACGGACTCGCCCCCAGCTCGAGCTTCCCCTGTGGGTCTCAGCATGTGTGGGACCCATTTTCTTTTGGGGGTGGGGAAAGGAGGTCATGACGTGGGGGAGTAGCGGAGGATGAACTAGATCACTCTTTGACAGGGAGAAAGAGAAGACAAAGTTTCAGGATCTACCATCAGCACAAGGCCAGAGAAGGAAGGTACCCCTGCAGAGGATGAAAGGTGAGGGCATCGGTACCCAGGGTCTCAGGAACAGCCCTCCGATTCCCCTTCCCAACCCTGAATCCATGTTTGCAGATATGTATGTGTGTTTTCCTTCCTCCAAATTCCATCTTTGGACAGCCTACCTTTACTCTAAGATCTTTGTTTGGGGGTGGGTTGAGACAGGGTTTCTCTATATAGCCCTGGCTGTCAGAACTTGCTCTGTAGCCCAGGCTGGCCTCAAACTCAGAGATCCACCTGCCTCTGCCTCCCAAGTGCTGGGCTTAAAGGGTACGCCACTACTGCCTGGCATACTTTGAGAGCTTAAGAAATTGGAGGCACCTTGCTGTCCCCACTGGACAGTGTCTGCTGGGTCTGGCCCCAAATACTTTGGACCCCTAGCTGCCTTGGTGCCATTTGCATATCTGTCCCACCTAACATAGGGACACCTGAGGACAAGGCCAGCTAGCTTACCTAGATGTTCTTTCAAAATCGCGCAGCTCAGCGCAGACAGACAGAGCAGGAAGGTAAGCCTCCTTTCAAGTTGTTTCTTTCTCAACTCTGAAGGCATTTCCAAGAGTCTGGAGTCAGTTTTGTCCCTGGGCCCCCGACCCACAGGAGGTGGTTCAAGCCCTCCTGAACTTCGACACAGAAGAGCTATGCCCCAGGGACTCCCAGACCGGCCTCCACGCCCACCAGACCGACCTCCACGCCCACCAGACCTGCCTCCACGCCCATCTTTGATCTCCAGCTCTTCTCAGTCCATCCAGCCCCACAAAGCACGGCCTCCCTGGCCCAAAAGAGAACCCTCACACAATCACCGCACTGGAGTACCTGGAGCCAGCAAAGCCTCTGTCCCTTCTGGAGGCCCCTTTTCAGACCCCGAGTGGCAGAGGAAGATTGTAGAGGTGAGGTCTCCACTGAAATGACTTGGGGTTCAAAGGGTGAATAGGCTGGGACAAGCGCTGAGCAAGGATTTGTCCCCCACAGGTAGAGCTGAGTGTACATGGAGTCACTGTCCAGGAGTGCCAAGCGGCCCTTAGAACCACTGGGGGCGATGTGGCTTCGGCTATCCGGAACCTCAAGGTAAAGCTAACCCCTTCTCCGGGTTCCCTCTTCTCCTGCTCTGCCCCCTGGTGGTCAGCTGCCCTCCTTCCCGCTCCCACAGGTAGACCAGCTCTTCCACCTCAGTAACAGGTCCAGAGCAGACTGTCGTCGCATCCTGGAGCATCACCAGTGGGACCTGTCAGCGGCTAGTCGCTACGTCCTGGCGCGGTCCTGAACTCTGCATCCTTGGGGATGGCTACCAGCATGGAGAACCTGGCCCACTTGGGGCCTGGCCTTATGGGACCAAACAGAACCAGGAGGTCTTGACAGAGGCGGACTTCACACCAAGGGAGATCTTACTGGCTGTAAGGAGGTATAGGGAGTGTGCAGGGCACCAGGTCAGGCACTGGGGAGTGTTTCCTCCATGCCCCCACTCCTTGGCCTCTGAGGGCCTAAGAACCTTTGACTAGACCAAGAAGGATCTAGTCCACTCTGCTCACCACATTCCCAATCGAATAGGACTTGGAAGAACAAAAGCGGCAGAGGAATCCTCTACTCAGACAACGACCAAGTAGCTGTACTGGCCTGTGGAACAACCATTAGCACGTCTTTAGCTACCTCACTAGACTCTATGGGGCACCCGGCTTAGATACGGACTCGGGGCAGTATCTTAGACACAAAATCACCATGGGTGATAAAGACTGCGTTTTTGGACTCAAGGATGTTTTCTTTTTTCTTTAATCCAAACAGTATAGATTATGAGACGGCAACTCTAGCCCGGAGGCTGCCATTCCCTTTGCTTTATCCCACGTCAGTTCGTTCTTTGTCCATCACATACATCTTCCAATGTGTAAAAAGTTGCAAAGTTTATATGAGTACAACATACAAAGACACTCCCCTGCATCGGGGAGGGAGGGGTGAACGGTTAAATAAGGCACAGAAGCCGCAGAAGGCACCAGCGGGCCCAGGGGGTTAGGGAGTTGGCACTGGGTCCCAACCTCTACAGCTGCTAATGAGGCGGCGGGGATCCCCTCAAGGTGCCACAGTCTGAAGCTAAACTAATTGGCTAAACCAGCGTAAGAGTGGCCTGTCTGCCGTCTTTGGTGCTGCTGGCTGTTTACCCACCAGCCCTCTTGTGAGTCCTGGATACTATAGGCCTCCTCCTGTGCAGAGGCCCTGGAGGAGGGAGTGGGTAGAGAAGTCCAAAATCTACCGTTGTGTGGGTAGGGACTGCCGGGAGACGGTAAAACACTGTGAGGAAAGGTCTCATACATACTCCTCTGTGGGCCATGGCAATGGGTGAAGGAGGAAGGAGGGGAGGGGAGGGATGGGACACAATGGCTCTCAACCACTCAGCCACCTGTCTGTCCGCTGCAGTGTATACCAAGGAAGGGGTTGCCTCAGGAGGGGGAGGCCAGGGCAGGTGACCATCTTGAATTCTGGATGAGGCGATGGTCTCCTCACACTGAGGTGGCTTCTAACTGGTGATGGCAGAGGGCCCAGCGCCGCCTCGCTTCTCGAAGAACATGTAGTCCTAAGGGAAGGTCACGGTCAAATGGGAGATCTGGCTGGGTCCAGCTCGTATGACTTAGCTCTGGACCTGACACCCACCATCCATGGGACTGGCCTTCCAGTAAGGGTCCAGGAAGTAAACCAAGCTTCAAGTAAGGGGAAAGGAGAAGCAGGCAGAAGGGCAGGGACAGCCCACTCACAATGAGGAACGTGGCTCCCAGCAGCACGGCCTTTGCTCTTACATCCAGATCTATTGGGAACTGGAGGCCAAAGTCGTCAGCGTCTGTAAGGGCTTCTCGGAGCAATCCTCCCCACTGCTTGCTGATGCGACCCACGCTTCGAGATTCATCCTTAGTTTTCACCTGTTGGGAGGGAAGAAGGACCCAGCTGGGAAAGTGCGACCCATCCCACTCGCCTCCTGTCTCTACAGTTGCATGTGTTAGTGGTGGAGACTGTATACTCAGTGACTCCTCCCAAATAGCGTTGGGTTTCCATACGACGCCAGGGGAAACATACCCCAGGTTACATGAATACACGGTAAAGATTAGGATTTAGAGTCAGATCTGTTGCTTTCCAAAGGCCATGCATGGCATAACTGTACTCAGTGATAAGTGACCAGTTGCTAGGCTGGCTTTGATTACCAGTACTTCTGACACCCATGCTTGGTACTGTATGCAAAGTACGTGCCCTGTGCAAAGGAGCCTAGCCGAGAGGGCAAAGGGAGGTGCCAAAGATCCTCTCCAAAGTGTGCTTTTAATCCTTTCCAGCACTGCATATGAATCCCATCTAGAGGCTAGCCAATCCTAGCAGACAAGGTGCCAAGGGGCAGCCTCTGAGGACCGTGATTCCCACTGGCTTCTCCAAGCTCAGCAAGAACAAGCCATGTGGAAGTCAGTGGTGACTCAGTGACTTTCTGGTCCAGAGACTAGAATTGAAGCAGTTTCCTCTTACATCCTGTGCATCCTCTTCCCACCTTGCAGGGAACTTCCTGCAGCCTAGTTCTGCACTCAGCAAGGTCGTCTGCTACCAACTCGGCATTCCCGAGAGCACAGATCAAGTATGGACCACTCGAAACTGTCAAAGGGACACTTGCTCCCTGAGAACCCCACAACACACACATTCCCATCCAGGGATCACACAATTATCTCCTTTCCAGCTGGTTCTCAGGACAGCAACTCCCTCTGACTACAAAGGTGACTCACTTTCTACAGACAACCTGAGGTGAGGTACCTCTACGGGACGAACCCTGTTGTTTCTCCTTTATCTGAATGGAGAATCATCCTTTAAAAAACTCGGTCCGGGCGGTGCCTCTGTCTTCTAAGAGCCAAAGTTTCACAAGCCTCATACTGAAATCCTCACCACTTGAGGAGTTCTGTCTCTGGACTGCTGAGAGGAAGCCACAGTGAGAAGGACATCACCTGGACTTCAGGTTGGACTGGTCACTTGGACTTCTAGGTTTGCAGGACAAGCCAAGGATTAAATTGCTGCAGGGTCCAGCAGCTACTCGGGTCCAGCCCATGGCAAACTTAAACACTGAAAGAAGACTAAAATGGCAGTCCTCCACCTTAGATCTAGGCTGGCCTCGGATTCTCCCCCAGTTCCCCTACAGGGCTGGAGGGAACACTCAGCCTTGGCCTGAAGATGAATTTTTGTTGTTGTTGTTTCAGACAGGGTCTCTCTATAATAGTCCTGACTGTCCTAGAACTCACTATGTAGACCAAGCTGGCCTCTAACTCACAGAAACCACATTCCTCTGCCTTCTGAGTGCGGGATTAAAGGTGTGCATCACCATGAAATCTTTTCTGATGTGCTTTTACAGGCTCACAGGACCATCTCACTTCTGAATGGAAGAAAACAAAGTCCAGTAGGGATCACAACAGATTCAGAATTGTCAGATTGAGGGTCTTGACCCTAATCCAGCCATTATCATAGAAGCTACCATCTTGTTTTTCTAATTACATTTATTGGTTGATTGATTGTGTGTGCTCCATGGCATGTGTGTAGAGACCAGAGGATAGTTTGCAGGAGTTGATTCTCCTGTACCATATGGGGCTCACAGCTAGAACTCGGGTTGTCAAACCTGGTGGCAAGTCCCTTTGCCCTCTGAGCCATCTCATCAGCCCCCATCTTGGTGTATGAAGAACCTAGGAATCACTCCCTATTTATAATACCTCGAAGTTGGTGTCTGTACCACAGCCACAGGTCCAGCAAGGCCCCACAACTCGAAGGACAGTCTGGCGATCAGCATCCAGGATAGAAAACTTAGGAAGGAAAGGATGCCAGGTCTGCAGTACATGGCCAATGGTGGTACCAGGTGGAGCCTGCACTTCCATCTGGAGACGAGGCAGACAGGGTCAGTGTCAAGCCAGGATACCTTGGCCAGAGCTCTTCACTGGTGCCAATTGTCTTCTGACTATTCACTAAACCTCCTGCCGCTACTAAAGCCACAGTTTTAAAGCTGCTCCCTACACCGCTCACCAACCACCACAAAACCTGCCCTACCCACCTCCTGAAGGCCACAGGGGCAGCAGCTGCAGCCACAGTGAAGTGGGCGGAGGAGGCGGAGCACCTCGCGGTCCCCGGGGTCCGCCAGGCGGACACGAAGCGGCCGGCGGGCACCACAGCACAGACGGGCACAACAGTTGCTTTCTTCAGCTGCCTGACCCAGTTGCTGTCCGGTCCCGGCGCGAAGTTCATACCTATTACAGGTCTCCCAGCCTAGGAACGCTGTTAAGGGGGTAACATGCTGGGGCTCAGGGGCCTCACCTGGCCCAAAGCTCACCACCGCAGCAAAGACCATGAAGCCCAACCTGCTCCTCCTCCTACTCACTTTCCACTCGTTCAGCCTTCTGATGAATGAAGATCTGATCAATCTGTAAAGAGTTAAGAGCAGCGTTGACCTTATCCATCAGCCCGGACCGTATCCATCAGTTCCCTCAGCCACCCTCCCTCCCACTCACCTGCACTAGGAATTCGAGGCCAGGAGGCACCCCAGGCAGCGGCAAGAATGGAGCAGGAGACCCTGGGGCCACGGGGCCTGGCGAGGGGAAGAGAGCGAAGCCGGGCGTAGGGGCCGGCACCTGGGCAGGCACTGGGGCCTGTCCGGGTCCAGGATGCAGGGCAGGCTCTGGATACCCAGCTGTCACGGGGTAGGGAGGTGGGGGCGAAGGGGCGTAGCCTTTGGGGGGTAAGTAGCCTGTAGGGGTGCAGGGGCAGGTTAGAAAGTTACCTGTGGCCTCATCTTCCTCTTTCTCAGCCCAAGGGCCAGGAGTACCCGCGGGAAACATAAGAAGAGGCAGAGAATGATGGGGCGGGGAGGGGGGGCAGGGCGGTGGCTCCCCAGGAGGAAGGGAGGGCCCCACGCAGCCAGTCTGAGCACATTCCTGGAGAATGTGTTCGACACCCGGCACCCAAGTTCGTGAGGGGGAGATAACGCAGACCCCAGCCTAGCGCCCACGTACCTGCCATGGGAAAGGGGAGGGGAGCCTTGGGCTGTCGGCGGCGTCCGGGAGGCTTAGTTCTGGAGTGGAGACAAGCTTGGGAACGGCCAGACAGACACAGACACAAAGACGGACAGGCAAAGGCGAGGAGGCAGCGGCGCCTAGCGCAGGCCCAGGGTCTCTTGGGCGGCGCCTATGACTCGGGGAGAAACCGAAAGTGTCAGCGGGCGGGGCGGGGTACCTGGGACCCTGAATTTCCTTAGGGGACCCAGGACCGCCCCCTCCCTTTGTTCTCCCATTTTCCACGGAGATGGCTGTTGGCAGACGGCAGGACAGATGGACCTGCGGTCAGACAGACGACCTGACCTCGAGGAAGGTCTGCCTGGCCCCTCTATGGTCCGGCTCACCTGAAGCCCCCAGAATAAGCCGGGGGGGCCACGCACTCCAGGGCTCACAGGCTGGTGGAGGCGGGCCCGGGATCTGGCCCCACCCCCGGGTCGCCTAAACCCCGCCCCCCACTCCGGGCGGGGCGTCTGCGCAGAAGACAGGCGCTTCTCCTCCCCCGGGGCCGCGGACCTTGGACCTTGTGCGCCTGGCTCGCCTTGCTCGCCGTGGGCCCGCCCCTTCCGCTCGGACTGCAGAGGCGTGGAGACCCGGGCTGTCGGAGGGGACTGCGGCCCAGTCCCTACGCCGCGACCCTAACCTTCTCGGCGGGCGGCTGTGCTGCCTCCCCACCGCGTGGCTGCTCGGGACCCCGCGATCCTCCTCCCAAGGGCGGGTCGGGCGTCGCTGACGCAGCGGAGCACCATTCACACTCTCATTGGCTTCCAGAGTTGGCTCGGCGTTCTCCTTCTAGCTCAGGGCGACCTCGCCGTGTTCTCTCCCTGTCGCAGCGTTGACCCACTCAGGCACCTCTCCGTTCAGGCGCACCCATTACACGCGTGACAGGCTGCCAAGAGGTATCAAGAATGAAATGTGCGTGAGGTGAGGCTCAGAAAAAAAAAAAAAACCGCTTGAACAGAACAGAACAGGTCCCCCATTCCTCTGCATAGTGGCACACGCTTGTAATCCCAGCACTTGGGAAGGAAGAGGCAGGAGGATAGCTACAAGTATGAGGCCAGTCTGTTCTATATGGCGAGTTCCAGAACAAGCCAGGGCTACAATAGCAAGACTCTCAAAAGACCCTCTTCCTCAATAGAAGAAAGTATAGCATCTAGGTAGGTGTGGATCACGTCCGAAGTTGCAGCACTTTGAAGACTGAGGCAGGAGGGTCACCGTGAGTTCCAGGTCATCCTGGGAGTGAGACGCTATTTAAAAACAAACAAAACCAAAGCAGCCCACCACTTCTGCCTGGGTCTTGTTGTCAGTTATATTTTAATGTCTGAGATGAGGTGCAGACACAGGAACTCTGAGAATTCTGGCCTTTATTGTACAGCCCAAACTGAGAACTACTATATTAGAAGAATTCAGGAGCTGTAGGCAGGCAAAGGCAAGGAGGAGGTGCCTGCAGAAATCTGAGCATAATGTGATGGATTGGACCAGAAACCAGGGCAGTAGCAGCGGTGGTGATGTGCATTTGAGGAAACATGACTTCATTATGGCTCAGAGATAGGCTGTAAGAAAAAGAATTGGAAGGTGAGTCACACTTGGCTTGGGAGACCCTTCGGCACAGCACAGATCTCCCCCCCCCCCCCAACCCCTTGCTCTGATCAGTCATTTACTGCCTACACTCGAATCCCTGGTTTCATGTATCTTCTCCCTGTTGACTCGTTACTTCCAAGATCCTGTTCCTTTTCCTTTGGTGACTTCTGACTAATGCTGAAAACACAGCTGATGAGTTGAAGCCTTAACAGCTTCCAAAGTCTAAACCAGCCCACTTTAGGGATGAAAGACTGAGCACACTGGCCTGGACGGTCTTCAGACCATGGCTGAAGTCTGCATTTTTTTTCATTTCTTGTTTTGTTATTTTGTATGTATGGGTGTTTTGCCTGCATGTGTGTCTCTACACCAGGTGCATGCAGTGCCAGTGGAGGTCCGAAGAAGATGTTGGATCCCCTGCAACTGGACTCAAGAGGTGTATGTTCCAGGAATCAAATCCAGGTCCTCTGGAAGAGTGGCCAGTGTTCTTAACCACTGGGTCACCTCTCGAGCCCCTGGAATTTGTATTTCTTGGTTTTAGGAGAATTTAACTTTGGGAGGTGATAAAGGAGAACGTGAGCCACAACTCACCCCGTTAGCTTACAACTACATATGCAGAACAAGTTCATTTTTCTTCTTCTTTCTTTCTTTCTTTTACTTGAGACAGGGTCTCAGTATGTTGCTCTGGTTGTCCTGGAATTAGGACCAGGTTAACCTCCAATTCACAAAGATGTGTCTGTCTTTGCCTCCTGAGTGCTGGGATTAAAGGCATACACCATTATGCCTGGGTATGTAGTTCATTCCACTAATAACAAACCTGACTACATGCCTTTAAACCCAGCACTCGGGAGGCAGAGACAAGGTCAGCCTTGTCTGCATAGTGCGTTCTGCTCAGCTAGGCTACACAGTGAGAGCCTGCCTTTAAAAAAAGAAAAAAAGAAGCCTGCCCCTGACGTAATGATCAGGAACTGTCCCTATTCTTATTATCAATATCATCTTTACAGTGCCCTCATGTGTGTGTGTGTGTGTGTGTGTGTGTGTGTGTGTGTGTGTTAGGAAGCCCATACGTGCTAGTCAAGTGGTCTACTACCCAGCTATATCCCAGCCCTTACCTTCTATTTTGTTTCCCTGTCCGGGTTTATCATACTGACCTCCATGGTTCAAGGCACTCTCTTCCTGAACACTTCTACCAGCTGGGGACCAAGTGTTCAAACATATGAGCCTGTGGGGACCCTTCTCATTGAAATCACAATTGTCCGTTTGAGGTGGACTCATGTAGCCTATGCTGGCCTCAAAACTGCTGTGTATCCGTGGATGACCTTCAACTCTTGATCTCTGATCCTCCTGCCTCCATCTCCCAAGTGCTAGAATCATAGGCCTGAGCAACAGGCCGGGCTTGCCAAAATTTTTAAGGGTCACACCAACAAAAATATGCATTAGTGTAGGAGAATTCCAGGAGCTGTCCCAGTAGGACACAGGCACCCAGGGCATGCATGGGGACCCATGGGTGGGAGCAAGAGATGGGTCTGTGGGCTGAAGCTCCTTTGGGGGGCCCACAGCATTCTCTGTATGTGTTAGTTTCCCACGACAGGACTGGACTACATAATTTGAAGGGAGCCCAAAGCAAAGGTGGGGGACCCAAGGGTCTGGTTCACCAGGCTTCAAACCACAGCCAGGTTGTCAAGTGGTTCACAGTAGGGACTTCATCTTACTAAAGCAGGATCAGGTGGAGAGTGCCTTGAACCATGGAGGTCAGTATGATAAACCCGGACAGGGAAACAAAATAGAAGGTAAGGGCTGGGACATAGCTGAGTAGTAGACCACTTGACTAGCATGTATGGGCTTCCTACCACCACATGTGCGCCTTTCATTGGGGGCAGGCTTTGGGGTTTCAAAAGCCCACACCATTCCCAGTTAGCAGTCTGTCTGGTGCTTGTAGATAGAGATGTGAGCTCTCACACTGCCCTAGTGCCACCCCGCCTGCCTGCTGCCATGCTCCCTGCCATGCTGGCCATGGACTCACCCTCTGAAACTATAAGCCCCAAATAAACTCTTCTAGAAATTGCCTTGGTCATGGTGTCTAATCACAGCAATAGGAAAATAACTAAGACCCAAACCAAAGCAAAGCTGTTGGCATAGGAATCTGCAGCCCAGAGCTGGTGTGATGGCTCAGCACCTAAAAGCCCTTGCTTTGCAAGCCTGAGGACTTATTCCCAGAGCCCATGCTTGAAGGAGAGAACCAACTGTAGCTGGAGAGTTTTCTCCCTGGGTCCCGCCAAGCCCCGGCAGTCCCTTAGCCCACTTATAAAATAAACATACAGACGCTTATATTATTTAAACTGCTTCACCATTAGCTCAGGCCTATCATTATCTAGCTCTTACTCTTATATTTAGCCCGTTTCTATTAATCTATACTTTGCCACGTGGCTCGTGGCTCACTGGTACCTTACATCTTCCTTGTCCTGGAGGCGGCTGCAGGCAGTCTCCCCCTTCCCTTCCTGTTCCCTCAATTCTCCTCTCTGTTAGTCCTGCCTGTACTTCCTGTCTGGCTATTGGCCAATCAGTGTTTTATTTTTTAACACATTTGCCATACAGAACATCACACAGCAACCAACTCCTGAGATTTGGCCTTTGATCTTCAACTCCATACACATACAGTAATAATAAATTTAGAAAACTGAAAGGAACCTGCAGCTGAGCAGAGACTAGGGTAGGAAATAAAAATCCTAGTCTTAAAAGTATGCAGATACAGTGGGGCAATAAGGGGTGCACACCTGTAATCCCAGCACTTGGGTGGTACAGGGAGGCAGATCTCTGTGAGTTTTAAGCCTACCTGGTCTACAGAGTGAGTTCCAGGACAGCCAGGGCTATATAGAGACCCAGTCTCAAAAAAAAAAAAAAAAAAAAAAAAGCCCCACCCCCCAAACAAAAAAGGTCAGGAGTTCAAAAATCACCCTCCTCTAGATAGGGACTTTGAGGCCAGTCTAGGATACAAGAGACCCTATCTCAAAAAGATAAAATCTCACACACAAACAAGAGCCTAAAAGGATGACTTAAAACCTAGTAACTTACTACTGTACTGCACAGAAGAGTTTAGGCAACTTACCGCCTTCTGTAAGGCCTGCACCCACCATCTGGGATCTTTTAGTCAGTTCCTGGATGCTACACTGTCCTTACTCCTATTCATCAGGTTTTTCTCTTACCTCAGGGACTTGGGGTTGCTTCTCTCAGCCTGTCTTGGTAGCTATTCCTTTTGCCTGGAATACACTTCTCCCTTTTGGCCATGGTCAGAACAGGACATCCAGTATGCAGATACTGCAGCTGCCGCTAACCTGGACCTAGAGCACCTTGGGTTTTTTGTTTTGAGAGTCTTGTTATGTAGCCTAAGCTGGCCTTAAATTTGTGATCCTCCAGCCTCATTTTCCAAGTACTGCACTTAGTACCACATCTAGCTTTGTTTTTTTTTTTTTTTTTTTTTTTTTGGTTTTTCGAGACAGGGTTTCTCTGTGTAGCTTTGCGCCTTTTCCTGGAACTCACTTGGTAGCCCAGGCTGGCCTCGAACTCACAGAGATCCGCCTGGCTCTGCCTCCCGAGTGCTGGGATTAAAGGCGTGCGCCACCACCGCCCGGCCTAGCTTTGTTTTTTAAAGCACGATTTGTTTAATATCAAAGTACACACTTTATTTTCTGAAGGTGTGCACTGAGAAAAGTGTGTGGACACTCCCTAAATGACAGACATTTTAGGCGATCTTGTTCAGTTCTTATCTTTTTGGTTCTACTTCACTAGGACCTCCTTGGTGGGTGGGGTCTTCCCATCAGAGCGGGAGCGTGTTCCACTGCCCAGCTGTTTCATTTCTTTCCAGGCTATGAATATTAGTCAGGTCTGTCTTGCAACTGTGTGTGTGTCTTTCCCTGCTTCAGTGCACAATGAAGCCACACAGAAGACCCACACCTTGATGCCCCACACCTTCCCTTTCTGTCTCTGTCTCCGCTCACTGATGCCCTCCACACCCAAGGGCTTCTTTAAGGCCATCTCAAGCTTTTCTGATGTCCAATACATCATGCTCTGCTTCTGCTTTGAAGTTTATAACATAGCTCACAACTAATCACATGGCTGTTGTGTCTTGCCTGGGCTCTCCCTTCTAGAATGTGTGGGTATGTAACAGGTAGACACTGTTGAAAAGGACAACCCGGGAATGGCAGGGCTAAAACCCACCATTCTCAACCACATTCTACTGAAGCTGGGTGTACGTACACACCTGTAATCTCAGCCATCAGGAGGCTAAGGCAGGAGGCAGCTGGGCATATAACTCAATGGAAGATTTCCAAGGCTTTGGGGTCAATCCCCAGCACTGGAAAAAAACTTTCAATGATCTACATGAATGAATTTACTAAAATCCACATTCCCATGTGCTCCTTAGGTAGAAAGCTGCATTATTTCAAGCATTCTATATGAGCTTTGCCCACCATTGCCACACCTTGTAAAGCACAGAATTCCAGAACCAGGGCTTATTTGTGAGTCTGAGAAATACAAAGAATTCAAAGATTGACTCTACCCTTCCTTGCTCAAGGTTAGATGAATGAAGACAGCAAAGTTCTTTATTTCTTTATGTGCCATTTTCTTTTAATTTCTTTTCTGCTTCAACAACCCCCCCCCCCCATTACCCAGAAAGCCCAGGACTGGCAATTAAACAAGAGACCTCAAACAGCCAAGGCAAGCCAGCCCAAGATTAGCAGACTCCCTCCAACAGGACCCAGATTCTGGATGCTAGTGTCTCCACTCAGAGCCTGATAGTAAAAGCTGGTACAGAACAAGGTAGTTCCAGAAGCTAGCAATAATCCTGCCTGAAAGAGATGGAAAACAGAATACAGTATTTTAAGTACAAAGCAGTATGAGAGATTGGATGGGGTTTGATCACAATTAGGCAAGGGGACTGATTACCCAGAGAGGCTTTCTGCAATAGGGTACCCCTAAAAGGGCCAGGCTGTGCAAAAAGTGGTGCTTGTTGGCCTTGTCAAAGAGCTGCAAGGGAAAAAAAAAAGGTAGAGAGACATTGTTTAAGCAACACAGGAGTCCAGGAACCTGAAGTGGCACACTGGACCGAAGTCCACTTCAACCTCTGAAGTCCCAGTTTGCTGCTCCCCCAGGTCCCCAAGCCACAGGCTTGCAGCCCTTCCTATTCATCTCCCCACCCTCTACTTTCAACATCCCTACCCTCCAGTTTAAGGACACCCAGATATTTCGCCTGTAGTCCCGACTCCGGGAGTCCCAATGCTATTACTTCACCTCCTTCCCGTAGGCATCCGGAAATTGGGCGCCTGTGGAGAGAAGCAAAAGTTATCGGATGTGTTTTAGCCTCAACCGTCCCAAACCCCGGAGAACCCACGCAGACACCAGTGAAAAAGGGCATCCCCAGAAGCTTCCGATTGGTGGAAATAGGTGTCGAGTAGTACTGAGAAGCTTTTGCACCCACTGAAAAACTGGACTCCAAGGGACCTCTATTCCATAAGAGACAGAACGCTTCCTATAGGTTCCTTCCCGCACCAGACCCCAAAGATCGCCCCAGCCCAGTTGCATCCCTCGTCCCCTGACCGTGTGCCCCGTAGGTGGCCAAACCCAAGGCCCCAGCTCCGGACAAGGCACCTAGGCGGCGGAAAGCAGACCCTACCACGGCCATGGCTGTGGGTGGTCACGCGCAGAACCAACACCGCCCTGGCCACCCAAGAAGCCAGCCAATCCAGATTGCCCATGCAAATAAGGTCCAAAGGTACCCAATCAGGGCTGTGTTCATTTCAGTGCCCCGGCTCCTTCTACATACGCCTTTGTAAAACTTCTGCTGAGTGGAGAAGACGTCTGGCGGGCGGAGAAACTAGAACCAATTAGGAGCGGAGGAGCGGAGCAGTGGGAGGTGAAGTTGTGGGCGGTACTAAAGGACTTGCGTCACGGATTGGCCCACTTTCCAAGTTGATCGCCTCTTCGACACCCCAACCCCACACCTCCAGCTAATTTGCAAAGATATCGGTCCCCACACAAAGTCCCGCCCCTTTTCCCACAGGCTCCTCCCGTTCAGCTTCTAATCAGACCCTCTCCTCAAAAGGGGCGGCCCCTCGGATGTCTAAGCCCCACCTATTTCCATTCAGCCACTCCCACTTCACGAATGGCCCCTCCTCTGTGCCTAGAGGCCCCGCCTTTTTGTGTGATGCCCTGCCCTCTGTATTTCAGATCTTCTCCCCCTCGCTAGACCCGGAGAGCCCCGAGGGTGGGAGATCCGGGGGGAAATGTCTTCACCCTGCCCCAGCCCGCTACGTCCATCCGTCCGTCTGTCCACTCCCACCCGCTTCACTGTCTTCAATCCCCCCACACTCTAGAGGGCGGGTGGGCAGGCGAGTGAGAGCGAGGGGTGTGCGCCGCTCTCTCGGCAGGGGGCGGGGGAGGCGGCCGCGCGGTGACGCGCGGGGCTGCTGCGGCTGCTCCGCCGGCGGATCATCACTCTCGGGCTGGGATGGACGCAGGGCGGGCGGGCCCTGGCGCGCAGAGCCAGGAGTCCGGGCCTCCTGGCTGCTGAGCATTCCCCAAAGCCTCCCCCAGCCCTTGCCTTCCTTCCTAGGAGCCGCGCCGACCTCTGCCTCGAGGCTCCGGACTCGGCCCCCGCCCTCTTCTGACTCCCCGGATCTCCCTCTCCCGCCCGCCCTCGGGATCGACTAGATCCCTCCCCCTCCCCGAGGATTCCGGCTGGATCCCTGCCCCTGCACCGCGGATTCTGCGCTCCGGGGCCCCGGGCCCCTGGGGATTGCTGTGGACTCCTCCTCCAGCGCCCGATCCCTTAGGATCTTCCGCCTGGACCGCCTCCTGGTCCCTCGAAGCCGGCCCAGAGAGCCAGTGGATCGCCAAGCCAATCCTGTCCCGTTGCTCCCTCCTGGCTCAGCCTTCCCCACTGCGGGGTTCCCTGTTCTTGAGCTCCCTCTGACCCCATACCCTAGCTTTCCTTTTCCTGGGGATCGACTGGATCCCGGCCCCGCCCCCCGGGGCTGGGGCGATCCCCCTCCCCCGCCGGGTGAGGCGCTGCAGGCGGGGGCTGGGCCTGCGGGGCCGCGGGGGCTCAGAGGCCGCCGCCCCCCTTCTGAAGCCCGTCCGCCCCCCACTCGGAGCCCTGGATGGAGGCACCACGGCCCCAGGGCTGATCCAGGTAGGAGCTAAGCCAGGCTGGGTGGAGGGGGCTGCGCGGCGGTCCGTTGGGGTCTTCCTCTTCCCATATTCCTCCCTGCGCCTGGTTTCCCCTAGCCTGCTCTGTCTGCGTGTCTCCGCCTAGGGATGCTCTCGCCGTGTCTCTGCGTCTTGGTCTCTTTGTCTCTGCCTCTCTCCAGTCCATGAATGATCCTTTGAATGGGCCCACAGACCCCGTGTGTTCCCATCTCCCCCTCCCCCTCCTTCTCCCCTTCCCGGCCAAGCCATTTTCCCCACTGCAGGAAGGCGGGGGGGCTGCGGCCTGAGCCCCTGTCCCTCAACTCTCCCCGGTTGGGGGAGTCAGGCCTGGGCTGGAATGGAAGAGCAAGGCAGAGGAATCGGGAGAAGGGGGAGCAAGATGTAGCAGACAGAGATGGAGAGAGAAAATGGGGGAGAGAGACAGAGAGAAAGGAGAGAGAGAGCTCTTGAGGGAGAAAATCAGAGGAGGTATTTGGAGGAGAGAGCGATGAGAAACACCAAGGAGACAAATGAGAAAAGACCGAAGGATGAGAGACTACTGGAGGCAAGAGCTGGAGCAAGCCGGTTCAGGCCAAGAAAAGATGCTCCGAGAGACCCAGTACAGAGGAGAAAGATGGGGGAAGGACTCTAGTGGGAGGGAGGAGAGAAAAGCTAGTTGGAGGAGAGGAGGCAAGGGGCCCAAAGTACCTTAAGGGAAAGGGGTGACTGAGGCAGGCCATGTTGGGGAGAGGGACAGCAAACCCCGGCCTGGCATAGGAAGAGGAGACGGAGCGGAGGGGGGGCGGGGGGGGGAGTCAACTCCAAACCCCCTTCAGGTGATGGGAGAACAGAAGCCTAAAAGGACCTGAAAAGGGAGGGCATGACTGGGTGTGAGTGGTGAGGACCTCCTGTGTCCCCATCTCTGGAATAAATTGACACCTGCAGAGAGCCACCCGCGGGCTGGCGCCTGGCTCTGAAAAACCCGGCGTCAGCAAACAGCCCTGGAGGCTGGGGGGGGGGGGGGGTGCTGGGGGGGGCTTGCTGAAATGACCTGGGTGTCTGCCCTGTCTACCTCTACCTAGCCCTGCCCCTGCAGCCTGAGCACCCAGGCTAGGCAATGGGAAGGGGAGGGAGGGCTAACAGAAGGGATGGGATGAGAAGAAACCTGAGGTCAAAATGCTGTGCAAAGAAACCCCAGATGGGGTCTAAGGCTGTTCAAGATTAAGGAAGGAGGAAGTCAGTAGGCTTATTTGAGAAGACCACTTCAGTACAGCCCCCCCCCCCAGAGACCTGGTCAGTAGGGTTAGGCTCTGATTGGCTAAGTGGGATGTGGGGGGCATCGCTTTTAGGATTCTCTGTTCTCCTAGACTACCTTCCCCTCATATATACTTCTTCCTCTCTGCTAAGACTGGGTGAAACTAGCATTCTGACTCATGCCTCTCCCCTCCCTCTCATGGCCCAAATGGACCCTCAAACCAAGCAAGCCCCTTCCCCTCTTCCTCTAGACCACCCCCCTCCAGGGTTAAAGCTGCAGCCCGTTGCCGAGGTAACATTGCGGGGCAGCATCCTGTCGCCCAGCAACCGGCTGCAGGATCATGCATCTGTCCCTGGATTTGCCCCTTCAGCATCCCCTCTTCACTTTCGCCCCTGGCTCTGGGCACCCCAACTTCCAAGGGAAGATATGGAAGGGCCTGAGGAGAAAGAAAGGGTGCACAGATCCTTAGGGAATGATACACTGATGGGGACAGGAGGCACGGGGGTTTGTAGTCCAAGAAGGCCCATAGTCTGGCCTGGGATGGGGGTTCACCGCCATGAAATTACAGCTCAGGAGTAATTAACACGTATAAACAAACCCGCCACTTCCTGCTAATTAATGACTTGGTATTTTTATTTTCTCTTCCTTGTCTGTCTCATTGTCTCCCAGGGAAGAGTGGGGACTGGAACTCCTGTGTCCCTAGGGGGAGCCTGCCTGGGAGGGATAGAGGCAGAGAAGGGGCACCCTTGAGTCCGGGAAGTTCCCTTCTCTGCCCCTGCCCTGGACATTTACCACATCTGACTCCACCCCAAACTTGGGTCTCTGCGGAGGGGAAGAGGGCAGTTGGGGGGAGGGGAGAGGTGTTCGAGGGTCTGTGGGTGGGAGAAAGGGGCAACTTGATCTGAAATTCAAGCCACTAACCACTTGTCTCTTGTTTCCCCGTCCTTCCTGTCCTCCCCATCCAATCTCCCTTCCCTTCCTCCACCTCTCTGTATTTTTCTGTCTGTTTGTCTGTCTGTATCTTGCACACCCTATCCGGGTCCCCTGTCCTCCCCTGTCACCGGTCACCGGGCAGGTCGGGCCTGCCTGCACCTCCTCCTACCTTCTTCCCCTTCCCCACCCCTCACCCCCTCCATGGAGAGGAACAGACTCCTCTTCTGTCCCTTCTAACCCAGGTCCCTACCCGTCCCCCTCCTCCTTCCTTTCCCCGCCCCCTCCTCCCTCCTGGGGCGAGGGGGGCCTCCCTCCCTCTCCCCCCCTTCTCTCTCTCTCCGAGGGGGGGGTCAGGGGAGGGAGGGGGGGTCCCCCAATCAGCATGTGGCTCCTGGCGTTGTGTCTGGTGGGGCTGGCTGGGGCTCAACGGGGAGGAGGGGGTCCCGGCGGCGGCGGCGGCGCCCCGGGCGGCCCGGGCCTGGGCCTCGGCAGCCTCGGGGAGGAGCGCTTCCCGGTAGTGAACACAGCCTACGGGCGAGTGCGCGGCGTGCGGCGCGAGCTCAACAACGAGATCCTGGGTCCGGTCGTGCAGTTCTTGGGCGTGCCCTACGCCACGCCGCCCTTGGGCGCCCGCCGCTTCCAGCCGCCGGAGGCACCGGCCTCGTGGCCCGGCGTGCGCAACGCCACCACCCTGCCGCCCGCCTGCCCGCAGAACCTGCACGGGGCCCTGCCGGCCATCATGCTGCCTGTGTGGTTCACCGACAACTTGGAGGCGGCCGCCACCTACGTGCAGAACCAGAGCGAGGACTGCCTGTACCTCAACCTCTACGTGCCCACTGAGGACGGTAAGGGCACGGGCACAAGGCCGGGCACCCTGTGGACACAGCCCACAAACGCACACGCAGACCCTCAAGCACAGGACCGACTCCTGCCCCTAAGCTGTGCCTTAATGGGCAATGAGGGGCAGTATGTCCCTGCAAGCCTCCGCGCGTCTCCCAGGTAAGGGTGCCTGCTTCTCAGGCAGTCCTAGGAGCATCCCATAAACAGCCTCTTCCACAGCAGAAACTCTTTGTGCCCCAGAAGGAAGGGTAGCTGGCATTAGGTCAGGCTCACCCATCTTCTCCCTAAAGAGGCACACTGTCAGATACTTAATGTTGATGGCTGGTGTTCAGGTGATGGATGTCTCCATGGCTTGCTCAGTCACTCCAGCCGTACCTCTACCTCCTGCCTTCTCCCACTTAACTACATCCACATTTTACTTCCAGCCATACCACGTAGAGCCCCATCCTCAGGCCCACCTGCCCTGACTTCTCTCTATCATATGGCACCTATCAGTCCTTTATCTGAGTTGAGAGTCCTTGTGAGGGGTACTCAGTGACTTCTTATGGGAGATTTCTGTCCTCAGAAATCCCTACACACAAAGGGTCAGGGAAACTTCTTCCACTCACGCCTGTCCACGCACAGCACAACAACCCATCAGAAAATTTTCCTTGGGGCTGAGCTGCTGTTCTTGTGTTCACTGTATGACAGCTCTCTACCCCAGCACTTGCTCCGGGATAGCTTTCCATTCACCAACCTTCTGCACACCAAGATTAATCAGAACCTCTTGTACGGTCTGCAACAGATCCCAGCTACCAAAGGGAGGACGACAGCATCACAAACAGCCCCCACATTACCCTTCTGACATACAATCTCACCATTCCAAAACATTTCAACACCTTCACAGAGCAGACTCCGCTGCACGCTTCCTCCAGCTACTGTTTCTAGTAACTTTACATTCAGGCCCGGCAATAGGAGCCCCTAAAGAACCCCATACTTCCACATTGTGTACTAAAGTTCTACAGTAACTGAATCTCAACTGCTCCAAATGACCATTTGCCTAGCTGACCGTGTGTTCCAATATCTTAAAAGTTACAACTCCCAACCCCTTCACAGAGTACACATGCCCAGTACTTCCCTGAAATGGTATTCCCATTACTCACACAGACTCCAACTTTCCAGTATCCCTGGATGCCAATTGTGTGCTCTGGTCATGCCCACATGTGCATTCTATACCCACATACCCTGCACACAGACTTGTTGACCGGTGTTGACGGCATCCTCAACACTTCGTTTACTCCATCTCCTGCTGGAGTTCACCCTTCTGAAAGGTCCAGTACTAACAGCTTGTACCTTGCACCAAGATTCCTCTCCTGCCAATCACAGAATGACTCATGCCTTAACCTGTCCATTTCCATCCTCCTATCGCTCATATGGACCATCTGCTGCCCCTCATTCCAGCCCTGCTGACTAGCGAACTCCCCTCCCCATGTAAAACCATGACTTCTGACAACCTCGCCATGAGATTTTTCTGCCCTTTCACTTAGGAGTCCTTCACCTTAATATCTCCCACAGATGCCCCGCAAAACTACGATTCAGTGACTCTCCATTGCTCTGTCTCTGTCTCTGTCTCTGTGTGTGTATGTGTGTGTGTGTGTGTGTGTGTGTGTGTGTGAGAGAGAGAGAGAGAGAGCAAGCACACGCCCATGCATGTGTGTGGTTTTTTAAGACAGGGTCTCACTCTTGTAACCTAAACTTGCCTAGAACTATGAAGCCCAGGCTAGCCTTAAACTTTTGATAACCTTCTTGCTTTAACCTCCTGAGTGCTGGGTTTACAGGCATGAGCCGCCATGATCACTACCACCCACATTTTCACATGGGCTTATCCACTCATGGCTCCCTCTTAGGAGCTTCCTCATCACTCCCTCCCGTGTGAAACATCTAACACTTCTCACCACTGGACTGTCCACTCCATCGCCACACAAATTGCCTCTCCCCTGCCTCCGCACCACTCATTCCCACACCTTCTGTATTTTTAGCCTTTGCATATTGCAGACCTGACGGGGCCTGATACATCAGGTGATCTCACTGAATCTTCACACCAGCTCCAGGAGGAAGTGGTTCACACGCGCGCGCACGTGTGCGCGCGCGCGCGCACACACACACACACACACACACACACACACACACTTCATAGCTTCACGGTCATGAATAGCCTGCTGACTTCATCCCTACCCATATCCTCTCACAAATAGAGGCCCTGTTCGCAAGTGGCTCATCGTTTAGTTAGTCGGTTAGTGCTAGCCTGAGCCTTGTTGACCCATCCCTCCTTGAGCTTTGGGGAAAGCCAGTCAGCATGGGGAACTCCCTGAGACTGTTCAGATCCAGTGCTCCCCTGACTAACCCCCAAATCCAGAACAGCCTGACACTGGGCTCTGGGCGGTCTGGGACTTTTCGTGATGTTAGGACCATTTTGTCTCCCAGCCAACACCTACTTTATGTATCAGACTGGCCCAAGCACTGTTTCCTATATGCTGTTGGCAGATGAATATCCCAAGGGGGAGGAGGGCTCTTTAGCAGTGGACCTAGGGTGGGGCTGGTGATCCTATGGGGAAAAAAAAATCACAATTTGGTGGGGAGGAGAAGAGGCCTGGGCAAGGGAGGAGGTTGGTGGGAGTGTGGAGGGATAAGTTGGAGTGGAGGGCAAGACCTGATGACCCCTTTCCCTGCTCTGCCCACATTGGGGAACTGGGACAAGAAGCCAGGCCTGTGAGTGTGGATGGAAGAGAAATGCTGGTGGGTGAGGCTGGGTAGATGGGCAGGTGGGCAGCCCTAGCTGATCTACCCAGAGCCCTTCAGTCGGCAGCAGAGGGCTTCCGGAGGCAATGAGCTACGGGGTGGTCTGCCCCCAGCCCATCCTACCCTCTGATGCAAAGGGAAGCAGAGTCCTTCCTGTGCAGCCTCCTCTTACAGCCTGAGGTGGGCAGCCCATAGCACGTGGCTGGCCCTGAAAGGAGCCTGCGTGAAAGATGGCCTGGGGGGCAGGCCAGCCTTGGTGTCCCTGGGCTCCCCTTCACCCCATCCCCCTAACACTATTTCATTTCCAGCAAGTAGCAAACACACCAAAAAGCCAAGTCCTTTCCAGTTAAGTCCCTGTGTCTCAAGAGAGCCTCAGCCCACTCAGGCACCCCACCCCCAAACCCACCTTTTCTTTGGGGCATGACTTTTTCTGGGGAGGGGAAAATTGGGTTATAGAAACGTTTTTCTCTTTTCTTGGTTTCTTTTTCTTGCAAACAAATTTTGCTTTTTTTGGCTTATTTTTTCTGCCTCTCCCCACCTTCCCCTTTTCTGCTTTCTCTCCTCCCCTCCCCATCTACCACCTCCCCTGACCCCCATCTTTCCCCACAAAATTGTCCTTTTTTCTCTGTTTTGTGTTCCCGGTCTTAGGTCCGCTCACAAAAAAACGTGACGAGGCGACGCTCAATCCGCCAGACACAGGTAGATTTAAAAATCCCGCTGATGCATGTGGTTGCTTTGAAGAGGACGTTGATGGCCCTGACCCCTAACTAAATGTCCCTATAGCCCTCCAGGCCCCTCAGTCGTTCTCCCAACTAAAAATGAAAAAGAAAAGAAAAAATTTTAATAATTGGACAAAAGAATCATGAAAACTTCTAACAGAATTTGAACAATGTTGGACCCACTAGCTAACCTGTGAGAAAAGCTAGCCATGGTGAAAGTGAGGTGGGAGAATGAAAAGGAATTGGATCGCCAGGGAAAAAAAACTGGACAAAATGTTGAGAGTTTGAAAGAAATCTGGACTGTTTTGCAACATGTGAAATGTACCATTTGAAAAAAAAAAAGTTTTAATTTGAAGCAAAATAATATTTGAAAAAAATGGACAAATTAATGACATTAATCAAAACATCCGAAACCTGTTACAATTTCTAGCCAAAAGCCTGCCAGATTTTAAAAAAAAAAAATGTAAACATCTGAAACAAATCAAAGAATTTGGAAATTTTTAAAAACAGGGCCCAATATCTTGAAGTTTCACCACAAAATTTTGAAATAACGCAAAGAATTTTTTTCTTGTTTTCTTTTTTTCCCAAATGGAGCTTTTTGTTTTTTCTTTTCTTGTTGAATCTGCCCCAAGAGCTTCTTGCTTTTTTTTGTTGTTGTTTTTTCTTTCTTTCTTCTTTCTTGATCCTGGTTTTTGTTGTTGGTTTTGAATTCTTGTTGCCCCGCCCCTCTTCCTGCCTCTCTTCCCTTTCTAACTCCCTCCCCCCACACTGGGAGAGGGCTTCGGGGAGGGTGGGCGAGTATGAAAGCATTTAGGACAGGACCCTGGAAGGAAGGACATGGTCGCCAGACCTCCCGCCAAGCGCCGGAGACTTGTGTCAAGTTAGGGCGGGAGCAGTGGCGGGCTCATGTGGGTGGACACAGGGAGAACTCTGGCCACAGAAGTCCAGAGACTCAGAGAAGATCTCAGAGCAGGAGGCAGAAAGCCAGCCTGGAGGCTTGGAAAGGGCATGCATGCCCTGTGACTTGCAGGTTGACCTTCTGTGTTGGCACAGGTGCCGGCTATGAGCTGTAGGGGCCCAAACCTGGCTCCCATGGCAGGTGTTAAACAAGAACTCTGCCACTGAGCATGCCCACCAAGTATGACAAGAGTTCAAGTGAGCTGGAGTTGACCCCAGCCTTGGGACTTCAGTGAAATCAGGGTAGCAGCGGGCAAGTAGGCCGGAGTCTCGAGGACCCCGACAAGCCCTCCCAACTGCCACGCACCCTCTAGGAATTTTCATTCCTTAGCCCAGTCCAGAGCTTCCTGGCCTGCTACATGGGGCACCTATGGAGAAGATTCTTCTAGACTATGGCAAGCGGGCTTCAGTGCAGGACAGGCCAGTTTGGAGGGCGGGGAGTCCAAGAGTCAGAGCTCTACTCTGACTTCATTAAGCAGGCTCTTTCCCACACTGCCTCCTCCTGCCACAGTAATTAGGCTGGGGGTTGCCATGGTAACTGGGGAGGTGACCTAGAAAGGAATTAGGGCGGGGAGGAGACCAAGCCCCCAGGGACCCTAGGGCCTGGCACCCCTCACCCACAGACTAGGGTGCCATGTGGAGCTGAGGCCCAAGCCTGAGTCTGAGGAGATGCCAGGACCCTCCCAGCACCTCCAGCCCTAGTCCCAGCCTTAGTCCGCTCTTCCCAGGAGCAGGAAGGAGTTTTGTTGTGTGTGTGGAGGGGTCCCTGGCTTCAGCAGAAGCCCCGAGGAGGGCCACTTCCTACCCTTGGCCTCGGTTGGGCTTCTTGGAAAGTGTGCCCAACATTTGGTGAAGTACTTGGAGTCATGCTAGCCAGTGATGAAGAGGGGCCTTCCTCTAGGGTTAGCTGGGGAGGGAGGGAGGGGAATCCGGTCTTGCCCCCCCGCCAGGGATGGTAGTGACAAGTCCCCTGAGCTCCAGGCTGGTCCTCAGAAGGCCTGGGAGCTCCGAAGTGCTGCTTCTGGTCTGACTGTGTCCTTGTCCCCGATCTCCTGGCCCACCTGCCACCCCCTTCCCACGCAGATATCCGGGACTCTGGGAAGAAACCAGTGATGCTGTTTCTACATGGCGGCTCCTACATGGAGGGCACTGGGAACATGTTCGACGGCTCAGTCCTGGCTGCCTATGGCAATGTCATCGTAGCCACGCTCAACTACCGTCTTGGGGTGCTCGGTGAGGGTGGGCAACCAATTCTTGGGGGGCAAAGTCTGGGAGGCAGTCCTGGTGGGCCCGGTCCTCCCGAGAATAGCCTTAGAGACTGAGTGCATTGAGCTCCCTGCAGAGGGGGTAAGGACGCTGTGACACCTCCAGGGAGTCCCCTTCTTCCACCCCTAGGTTTTCTCAGCACTGGTGATCAGGCTGCAAAAGGCAACTATGGGCTCCTGGACCAGATCCAGGCCCTGCGCTGGCTCAGTGAAAACATTGCCCACTTTGGAGGTGACCCTGAACGTATCACCATCTTTGGGTCTGGTGCGGGGGCCTCCTGTGTCAACCTGCTGATCCTCTCCCACCATTCAGAAGGTACCAGCAGCCTCCTCCCCTGCCTTCCCTTTCCCTGGACCCTACCAAGCCTCTCCTCCTTTTGGGCCGATACAGTCTAGCCTGAGATCTGCCTGTCCCACCAGGACTGTTCCAGAAGGCCATTGCTCAGAGTGGCACCGCCATTTCCAGCTGGTCTGTCAACTATCAGCCGCTCAAGTACACGCGGCTGCTGGCAGCCAAAGTGGGCTGTGACCGCGAGGACAGCACCGAGGCTGTGGAGTGTCTGCGCCGGAAGCCTTCCAGGGAGCTCGTGGACCAGGATGTGCAGCCTGCCCGGTATGGGGGCGGGAGAGGGCTGGGTCCAGGTCTGTACGGTCCTAGCTGGTTCTGAGGAGATGGCGGTGAGAAGTTCCTGGGGACATTGTAGTGGGCAAGGAGAAACGGGCTCCAGACCCCCCTAGTGGCTGTCCCTTAGCAGCCTCCCTCAAGTGAAGGTCACCACATCACATAGCTCAAGCACAGGGTTTCACAGAATGCTTTAGGTGGATATCCA